GTGTCCTCACACGGTGATCTTCTTTCTGTGCTCTCACATCTCTGTGTCCTGTCTCCTCTACTATAAGGACACCAGCCCTTTTGGATTAGGGCCCATTTTTTTACCTTATTCACCTCTTTTTTTTTTTTTTTTGCGGTACGTGGGCCTCTCACTGTTGTGGCCTCTCCTGTTGCGGAGCACAGGCTCCGGACGCGCAGGCTCAGCGGCCATGGCTCACGGGACCAGCCGCTCCGCGGCACGTGGGATCTTCCCGGACCGGGGCACGAACCCGCGTCCCCTGCATCGGCAGGCGGACTCTCAACCACTGCGCCACCGGGGAAGCCCCCTTATTCACCTCTTTAAAGGCCTCATCTCCAAACATAGTCACACTCTGAAGCGTGATCAGGGCTTTAACGTATGAATTTTAGGGGTACACGATTCAGCCCCTAACACCAGGCATCAGGAGCAAAACCAACACTGGAACCCAGAGTTTCTAACCCTAGAATGTGAATTTGCCTTTGATTCACATCCTTTCCCAGGTTAAATAATCTCACAGAATTACAGCACGCTCCGATTGGAAGGCATCTCGTGATGATCTAATAATAGCTCTCTCATTTGTTAAATAAAAAGCCGATCCTACTTGTGTTGCTTAGAATCCTAGAACCCATGGATGGCCCAGCTTGGCGCCACCCAGATATTCCCCTACTGGGGACCTTTCTTGGATTCCAGTCTCCTGATCTCTAAACTCTACACCAGGGTCACCTGCCACCCAGGTCCTGGACTGCAAATCTACAGCCCAAGGAAGCAGCTTGGTACAGACTGGTACCTGGAGCAAGAAAGCCCCCACCCCTTCTCCTTTGGAAACAGTTGGAGGGATAAACTGGCTTTCATGAGTCTTCCTGCCCCTTTCCCCCCCACCATCCTCCTCTCTTTTGTGCCTTCTTATGGCAGCTGTTACCAATTTCAGCAGTCTTCTTCTGGCAAATCGAAGGTTCCAGGTGACTAAGGGAGTTGGTCATATCCTCCTGGAGGATAGACAGCCTGGGTCTACTCCCACCCACCCCTGCTCCCAGACTGTGTGGTCAAGGCCAAAGACATCCCGAACACTCCCCCGCCTCATACATGCACAAACAAGGCAGGCTTCCAGGTCTATGTCCAGTTCTGAAAAGAACTCCAGATTATTCCTCACTTCATTCTCAGCTCATCTGTTTTCCCAGGACCAACAAGATTTTATTATTTGCATGACCCTTGGGATGAATGCCCATTCTTGGCTTTTAAAATTACTGGAAGAGGGCTTCCCTGGTGGCGCAGTGGTTGAGAGTCCGCCTGCCGATGCAGGGGACGCGGGTTCGTGCCCCCGGTCCGGGAGGATCCCACATGCCGCGGAGTGGCTGGGCCCGTGAGCCACGGCCGCTGAGCCTGCACTTCCAGAGCCTGTGCTCCTCAGCAGGAGAGGCCCGCGTACCGCAAAAAAAATAAAGAAATAAAATAAAATAAAATAAAATTACCGGAAGAGTAGGAAATAGGACACGTGCTCAAGCACACACACACCCCCACCGAACACACACACACACAGAACCCTGAAAAGTTTGGTACAGAACCTGGAGACAGGACACACCTCCATCAGCTGACCAAACGAAGCGTGCTTGGGAACAGGGATGATCACACGCTCCCTGGTAGAACCGTTTTTGTAAAAATGAAGCCAACACATAAGCAATGATTTCATGTAACCCTGCAAAGCAGAAAATGAATCAGGATCACTCACTCAGGTGTAATTTTCCTTCAGTTTCTCCTTAGTAACAATGCGATGGTGCCGTGTGCTTGTTCTGTATTTCCTTCTCTAGTTTTTGGCCAGAAAGGAGGGATGTAGGTAAATAATCGTTCTGTTTCTCTGCCTGTCAGTTTCAGTGTGGACAGTAAGTATCCAGACAAACTCAGCTCCTGCCCTCAGCGAGCTTACGGTCTAATGAAGGGAACAAACCTTAGACAGATGTGTCTACAAATAAGGATGTAATATCAATTGTGAAAACATAAAGAAAAGGGTTAAAAATCTAGGGGCAGGTACTCAAGGGATCTCTTAGAAATCACCTTCAGGAGAAGGAAGGAAAAAGGAGGGAGGGAAAAAGAAAATACAGGGAGGACAAAGGGAGGAAAAACCTAATCTGGGTGGTGAGGTATTAATTAGACAATGTGCTGCATTTTCATCTCCTCTAAGACAGCTGAAGCCTGCGTTTTCAAATCTCTAACTTTCCTAAAACGAGCTTACCTTTGAAATGCATGACATTAGTGTAGTATTATTATCTGCTTGGAGGAGCACCTTCTGTTTTATTCGTGGTTGTGCAGAATAGTGTTTGTTCTCCAAGAATCTCAGGAACAAAAATACGGGGCCGTGGCTCTGGTACTTCGGTCCCTTCCCCTCCCCAGCCCCGTCTTGTTTTCCTAAGCCGTGGCCAGGAATGTGCTGGGCGGGGGCAGCCCGGCTGTCAGCGCTGAGCCCGGGCAGCCCCAGTCACGGTCCCAGGCTGGCCTTTCACCTCCCGGCTCTCCCGGCCGCTCTTATTAAGCAGCAAAATGTTTCAATATGTTGAGCTTTGGGGGGAGGGACGGAGAGAAAAATCGGGATATTGTTGAGAAGGAAATAATGAATAACCCTGACGCCCATACCCCCCACGTGGGGAGATCTGGGTGATAAGTGTGCTTTTTCTCCAGAAATGGAATCCAAGCAACTGCCTTTTGGTCAGAAATTTCCAGAGCCATTTGGAGGGGGAGGGGGGGGGTGGAAAGGAGGGAGCAGGTACTAAACAAATTTTCCCAGAGTCCAGAACCAAAGTAGCCAGAGATCTGGGTACCCCAGAAAGGAAGAGGAGGGGAAAGCCGGAGAAACTGAGACTAATTATCAGAGGTGTACAAAACGGTCGGTTTTGTTCTTACAAACTAACACACTCTCTACTCTTACCTGTCACCTCTGCTTTCTTCTCGCCCCCATCCCCCACCCCAAAGTTCTGGTCTGGGGCCTGGTAAGCAGTTCCCTTTTACAGGAGACTCTGGAGAGGGGGGCCCAGTGTGTGAAAACGGCCCAGGGTCTGTGGAGAATGGCCCTGGGATGGGGCACCTGAAAGGCAGTGAGAGCATGACCCACAAATCGGAGCCCCATTCAAGGCCAGGTCTACAAGTGGCCTACAAGCCAAGAAATGAGCAACTTTCCAAATTTCAAGAAAACACAAATCTAAGGACCCAGAAAAAATCCCTTAGTAAGAGTGTTTTTTTTTAATTGAAATATAGTTGATTTACAACGTTGTGTTACAGCAAGAGTGTTTTGAAATGTATGTGTATTTTTTAATCAAAACCCCATAATAGTGTTGGTTCCCTGACACTTGCAATCTACTTGCTCTTATAGATGGCTGCCTAGAAAATGTGAGTCAGGAGGTATATGCCTGGAGAGGACCAAATAAGAGAAAGGAGTAACTTTTAAGGAGGAAAAACTTAAGGGCTTGAAAAATGAAAGTAGACATCACTCATATCATTTACATTTGAAGAATAATTCTTTGCGCTGCAATCGTTTGAAACTAAATAATCAGCTTAAAGAAGGCCTTGGTTTCTACATCTCCTCCTGGCTTGACTCGGTTGTGTGTCTTTACATTTATGATACGTGGTGGTTTCTGGTGATCCTTGACATTTCCTAGTAACACAGAGAGGTTTCTGGAAAAGCAGCTGGGGGCAGATGGGTGGCTGTCTATTAGAACAATTCATCAGACAGCAGTTGAAATATTGATAAGAAAGCGGAAATCAAATTAAAAGACGGAAAAGAGGGAGGAAGAGGGAGTGGGACGGAGAAAGCTGGAGAGAGGCGGCGGAGGCGGAGAAGAAAGCTGCAGGATGCACAGACCTGAGTGGTTCCTGCAGCCCCCAAAGACGTGCGGGAGCTGAGGCTGCCTGTCTGGATACGCTGGGAAGAAAGGCAAACGTTGACTCTGGGCAGACAGCAGGTTTAATTCCATCCTGCCAAGGATCAGGAGTTTGGGGGCAGAGGATTCACACCAAGAGCTTGAACGCCCTGGAGCTGTCGGAGTCCAGCCCCTGCTGGCGGAGCAGGAAGGGGTGTCTAAGGTGGGTGTTCGTTTGCGAGGGATCTCTGGGGGTGATGCAGGGTCACGTCTGCCTGCTTTAGGTGCAGCCTGGAGGCTTTCTGGGGCTCCTTCTCTCATTCTCTCCCAGGCTTTCTTTTCTGTCCTTTTTTTCCCCCCTGCTCACTCTTCTTGCAAATTTCACTCCAACTTTCAAAGGAAATGGGGAGACTCTAGGGCAAGGGCACCAGGGGAGAACAGTGAATGGGAATCTAGGAGCCTGGAGAAACGTACCTGGTCCCTGAACTTGTGTGTCTGTTGTGGCTTCGGGAGCCAAAAAGCTGGAATTCGTTAGTGGGGAGAAAAGCGTTTTATCAGAAACACATTGGCTGCTGCAGAAGCTGCGCCCTGCCACGTTAGAGACGCGGCTTAAGAGAAGGAAGGGAAGGAAGAGGAGAGAGACAGCCGCCAGGCTTGGCCAGGCGGGGACAGACTCACGCAGAGGCACCTGGCCTCCTAGGGTAGCTTTCGCACCCTCCAGTCCAAATACTCAAACTTCAGACCCCACCTCCCCTGCCACTAGAAATGAGGCCGCCTCATTCATTGTCTTTGTCTCTGCTGGGAAAACTCGATTTCTTCCAGAAGCGGGGGCGGTGAGGGATGCGCTCTGGGAAAGGGGCCTCCATAGACCTCCAGAACCTTGAGCCAGGGGCCCTTCTAAGCAGTCCCCCAGCAGGGAAGAGGGAGACAGCTGGATGCTAGTGGAGCCCCGGGGGGTGGAGGTGGGTAGGGGAGTCAGGCAGGAGGTCTGTGCCCCAAGGGCCGCAGCGTGGGCAACTCTGTAAATATCTGTTTCCTGGAGCCTCGGGCTGCAAAGCTGAGGAGACCTACCTCTATCCCAGCCACCTTCTCTCCTCTGGCAAGGGCACACCCCTATCCCCACCCCTGCATCCCCAGGTATGAAACTACGCAGGCCCTGGGGGAGACGGGCGTCTCCAGCTGCCGATCGAAGTTTACAGGACTGTAGGCAAGAGGCCCAACGATGTGAGCTGGCTCTCACCACCACCCCTTAGCCTGGAGCCTGGGGGAAAGAGGCGCAGGGCGGGTGACGGTGCCTGCTCCCCACCCTCCCTCACTGGTCCAGGTGGATGGGAGCCTCCCAGCCCTCCTGTCGTCTCTCTTTTGCTCTCCCACTTCACCCTGCCCCCCACCGTCTCACCCTTGCTCCGCTCACGGGTGACTGAGGTTTCTCCCACCCAGGTTGGTCCTTGGGCCTTCCCGACCCTTCCTCACCCACCCAGGATGTTTCAGACAGTCCCCGACACATCGTCTTACATCAAGGTAAGACATGACAGCGTCTTTAAACAGGTAATGACCCCCCCAGCAGCCCCCGACCCTCTCCCCGGACCTAGGGTTCCTTCCCCCTTTCCGCGGGAAAAGAGGCTGGTGGAGCTGGGGCCACTAGCTAGACTGGATGAGGATGGCGCAGACCCCCGGGAATCCCTGGTTGAGGACCAAGCCTCTTGGCCGCTTCTCTTTGGGAGAATGGAGGTGGGCGAGCCTGATGAGGGCCGTGCAGGAAAGCCCAGACACCGGCACCAGGACCCGCGGGCCAGCGTCCGGTCCCGATGGGTCATGCGCCCACGCCGCGCCATGCACAGCAGGTTCCCCGAGTCAGGGGTCTGTGTGGACAAGAGCGTGAGGGTGTGAGCTCGCGCGTGTGGGTGCGGGCAAATGATCGCGACGCGCTTCTCTTACGGGTTCGACACCCCCGGTCCTCAAGCCCACCTTCCTCGGCTCCACCGGCCCCTCAAAAGCGCAGATTCCTGTATTTGAAGGTATATCGAAGGGGGTTGGTTGGTTTTTTGGTTTTTTTTTTCCTTTTCCACAGCAGTTCCCAAGAATGTAAACAAACCGAGACCAGGACATCTGGGTTACACGTTTAATGAAAATCCGCCAGCGGGGCGGGCCGAAGGTGCGGAGCTGCCCGGGGTGGGGACCGCGGCGAGGTCCTCTCGCATCCCAAGCGCGACCTCCCGCCTTCCGGGTAGCAGCCCAGATCCTTCCCCAGCTCCGAAAAGGAAGGACCGCTGCGGCTCGGCAAACTAACTCCCACCTCCTTAGGTCTCGGCTCCGCCCCCTCCTTCCCGAAACCCCGCCCCGAGAGGCCCCCGCCCCTCCCTCCTGGCCCCCTCCGCTGCGTCCAGCATCCGCGAAAGCCGGGCGGAGTGACCGTCTGCGGGCACCGGGCACCTCGACTGCGTGGGGACTCTCGGGTCTTATCTGAGCGCGTCAATTATGCGTCCAGCCCTCCTCCTGTTTCTCTCGAGGGAAATCTGTGGACACCAAGTAGCATCTTCCCCGCCTGTGGTCTGAAGGAGTCCACATAGTCACTTTGGGGAAGCCAGGTTTTGGAGGCTTGGCCGGGAAGGGCTGTTTAATCTATCAGTGATGAATGAATGAAAAACGAGTGAATCAATGGACGGGTAATCAGTAAACGGATGGGTGGATGGATGGCTCCCAGGAGGTGGCAGAGCAGACACAGACTACAGCGAGCTCGGTTCGCGGCGTCCAGGTTTCCTGGGGGGTTATGGGCGCTGTAACCCCTCCCACCCCACCGTTCCCGGGACGCGGGGCGCAGCTGACCCGGCTCTCACTCCCGGCTCTGCCCCGAGGGCTGCGAAGGGCCCCGGGGCGGGGCGCTGCAGTCTCTCTCCCATCCACTGGGACCCCCGAGCCTGCACACACCCGGGGACCCAAAACCTTAAGGATGACCCAGAGGGGCAAGTGGGAGCCCGGGAGCCTGACCCAGGCCAAGAGTCAGAGAGAAAGCTAACGGCCCCGGCGAGTGGAGGGAGCCGCTGGGGGTGGGGGAGAGGGGCGGCAGTCTACGAGCTCCGGCCGCCAGGGGAGCCGCTCGCCGCAGGAGCTCCTTTCAAGGGGAAAAAATGGATTTTTCGGCAGCCACAAAGTTTGTATTGTTGCACAAAGAGGTGCATTGATGAGGTCGGGAGGTCCGCGTGGCGGTGACAATCTTGGGTCTGTTCCGCAGTCTCCCTTACGCCTACCATTTGCCAGAGGGGCACAAACAGTCTCCGGCCGCCAAAGCCCCGGCCATCCCGCCTCAGCACTCGGCTCCGATATTATTGGCAAACACGGCAGGTCCAGGCGCCCGGGCCCCAGGAGCCAGGAGACGAGCCGGGCCTTGGGGAACCAAGGGTGCCCACTCCACCCGGGCAGCGATCTGGGTTCCAAGTGCTCAAGGAGGACCGCGCAGGAGAGAGCGTAGGGCGGATTTGAGGCTGGAAAGAGCAAGAGAAAGGTGAAAAGGGGGAGAGCATTGTATTTGTACTAACTTATTTAATATTAATAACAACCCTAGGAAGTGGTCCATTTTGCAGATGAGAAACTGAGGCATTGAGAGGTTAATGTAATCTAGCTTACAAGGGGCAGAGCCAAGGTACAAACAATAAGGGCAAAGTTGTGCTGACTGCCAGGCGAGTTCTAAACACTCACTCCATCTTTACAACAGCCCTTTGAGGTAGATCCTATTATAAACCCGTACAGATGCGACATTGAAGCACAGAGAGGTGAAGGAACTTGTCCAAGGCCACAGAGCTGGTAAGTGCAGAGCTAGAATATAAACCCAAGGAGCCGGGTTTCCCAGTGCGAATGTTCGACCAGGACGTTCCACTTGCAGGTATCGGGGAGAGGCAGGAGACCCAGTGGAGGAACCCTGACCATGTCCTTGCGAGGTGCCCGCACTGGGCAAAGCACTTGGCAATTCCAGCGCCAGGAGCACATCCCCGAAGACCTCTCGCCGCCCCACTCGAGACTGGCAGGGTCCCCCACTTTCCCTCTTTACGAGTCTCCCAGACTCCTTGTTCTCGCTCCCCCTCCAACCAGCGTGCTGGTTCAGCCCACGCTGCATTCTGGGGGAGACTCCCCCCAACCAGACGAAAAGAGGCTGGTAGCCCCAGAATGTTCGCTACGGCACGGCCCAGGGGCAGCATCTGGCCGGCAGGTCCTGAAACGGCATTTCAAGGACACAGGTCTGTACTTTGCATGCTGTTAGGGGCGGCTGGGAGGCAGGGCGGCTGGAGATTCGGAAAGGCTGAATTCTCCCTTCCCCCAAAGCCCCCGTCTAGGCGCCGCCACCGGGTGACGGTCCCGGCACCTGGCTGGTCTCCACCTCTTGTCAGCCTGCGCTCTCTGGTCAGTCTCGGACTCCCTTGGGATTTCCTCCTCGACGCCGCGTGGTCTGGGGACCCGGCCCCGGAGCGCCAGGGGCTCGAGGCGCAGAGACCCTCCCCCTCCCGGGCCCTCCCGCCGCCGCGGCCTCCCACGTAGCGTTTTGAACCCTCTTGGCGCTAAGGCAAGAACGAGCGTGGGGAGCGGGCCGGGCCAGCAGAGGCTCTAAATCTTCCTTCAATCTGTGAGTCGATGAAGTCTGAGAAACAAATTCAAAGCAGGCGCGCCTGCAGAGCCTTCCTGCAGAAATATTCCCCGGCATTCAAGCGCATCCAGGGGCGGCTCGAGCTGCCTTGTTTGGCTAAGGTCAGACGAGACTCGAGTTCTCCAATAAAAATAAATCTCAAATTAATTATGGCCTCGAGCGAGGGGCCAGACACTTGAAGCTGCAGTTGTGCAGGCTGGAGTTTTGGCGCTCGTTCGCCCATCCCTCCCCCGCGCGTCCTCCCCCACCCCCCTTGCCAGCTCGAATACCCGCCGAGGCCGCCGGACCGGAGGGGCCGGGAGGAGGGAGGACGAAAGGGGAAGGACACGCCCGAGACGCCCTGCCAAGCCTGGCATCTTTCGGGGTTTCAAGTGACCGGAGGTCCCGAGGTCTGGAGGCACCCCAGGGACCCGGCTCCGGTTGTCGCGTCCTCCCACCCCCAACCCGGGCTGGGACCGAAGAAGCCCGGGAAGCCGTGTCTGGAAAGTCTTGACCGGGTCAAAAGGGCTGACATTGAGCGAGCCAAGACACGTTTCACCCCGCCGCTCCCCTCCCGGGGGAAGCCGGACTTCCGCATCTTTGAAAATATTGTCAAGTGCGGATGGTGCGAGGCAAGTCGCCCCACCACAGTTGCAATGCAAATGCTCCAAGTCCAAAGGTTCCCTGAGTACTCGCCCCCGTGGGCATGCTTTCTGCAAGTGACCTGAGACTCAGAAACGTGTGGTGGGCTCTTCTGTTGGTTCCCCCCACACACAACCCCGACCCCCGGTTGCTTGCTTTTGTTTTCAGTGCGGGTTCGGCTCCCTTGGCTGTGAGCTTCCCCTGACTTGAAAGCCATCCGGGGCTGGTGGAGTGGGCAGGACGGTACTGGGCATCAGCTCCTGGTCACCAGCCCTGCCTAGTCTAGGAGAGGGAGAGGCAGGACAGTCCCTGGTGAGCCAGGAAAGAGGGTGTGAGCAAATGTGTGGGTGGGGTAACCAGCCCCTAGCTGCGCCAGGAGAAGGTGGAGGAGGGCGAGGGGGAGGGGAGAGGGCAGAAGAGGGGTGACGAGAGAGAAGGGGAAGGATCTCCCTCCCCAGCTCCAAGGCCGTTTTCATCTGTAGCCGCTTCACCACAGGCTCTCTATCAATTTGTCTCAATGCAAACATTCGAAATATTCTCTTTGGCTGCTCGTGAAAACAATGTGAGCTGCCAGGATCAAACCATCTTTCCAGATGTCTGGTGGTTACCACATTAAACAGGGCAGACTTGTTTACTGTTGTGTTTGGTTAGGGCTTTTTTTCCCCCTTCAGGATTTAAAAAAGCAGCAGCAGCAGTGGAGTGGGACATCAAACCCAGAGTTACATAAGTGGGCAGCCCTGCCCACTGCCATGCCAGTGAGGGTCACAGGGAGACTCAGATTCCCTCGGAGGGCTCTTCAGAGTTGGGGGGCTCTTCTTTCTGGGTGGAGGACCTTGTGAATGGACAGGAGCTTCTGACAGAGGGGCTGGTAAACACTGAAAGCCACGGCCCCAGTGCCAGTCAGTGAGTCACTAAGGGGTGACAGCTGTACCAGTGCCAGCCTCTTCCCCTCCCCACCATCTTCAAAATTACGAAATTGCCAGAAGCTTTGGTTTTACAGGCAGAAACAGAAAGTGCTGTTGAGTTCCACAGCTCAAGCAGGAGGGCAAGTCCTCACTTTAATCTAGTTCCACACTGAGCTCTCCCTAGGGGAGAGGCAGCTCCTGCTAAAAGGAGTTGGGGGTACTAGAGACGCTGGGGTGACTTACTGATCAGAGCAGTGAAGCCAATCTGTTATTTGCCAGGCTGGACAGGGGCTGGGAAGAGACACCTGGCCAATGTTTTGCCACAGAGGTGCTTTCTCAAGTACTAGGAAGACCGGGTGTAGAAGGGGGAGATGCTGGCTGGCCTGCGGTGGCCTTTAACGGCCTGAGTGTTTGCCCAGCACCAGGAAGGGGGCCTCCGGCGGTAGACAGGAGTTCTCTCTGCCTGAAAGAGGGGGAATGTGGCCGGGGGTGCCGGGTTTCTGGTCAGGTCCGTGTGGGAAGCGGTTTCCCCGCTCCCTTCTGAAAGCCTTGTTGTCGTTTGAAGGTCGGCAGAGTCTGGGCTGAAAAGGAAACAATTTGGGGTTTGAAAGGATGTAATTCATTCTTCCTTTCCCTTTAACCTCTTTCCTCTCTGGAAAGCATGTGGAAACGCTGAAGGGAAGAGAGAGAGGGCGGGCGTCGGGGCCGAGGGGAGGAAAGGGTTAAGCCTGATTTCTTTTAATTGAACACTCCAGAACTGGTGGCCCCAGGCAAAGGGGGGGACTGACCCCGCTAGCGGTAACCAGATGTGGCGGTCCCAGGGGAGCCCCCGAGCAGACCCCTGGATTGAGAAGCAGACAGGAGGTGGGGGGGGGGCCGGCCCGGCCCCCATCCCACCCCCACCCCATCACCCCACCCCTCTCCCCCGTACGCACACCGAGTCACAATTGCTGGCAAGCTGCACCCGCCACTCCAGGTCCGGTCACGTTCAGACCCGTGTCTGTATTCGAACCCAAAATTGGAGCTGAATTGATGAGACTAATTTCGAGAAGGGGGTGGGGGGAGGGAGGGAGGCCAGCGAGCTCTCGGGATCAACTGCTCCTGAAGAAATAAAGAATTAATAAGTCACCTTTTTCGCCGCTGTGGACACCCTTCTGAAAATTTTTCTTTCCAGTTGACTCGGATCTCCTCTGGATTTTTTTTTTTCCTCTTTCTCCGGGTGGACTCTTAAATAAAAGTGAGAAAGTCCAAAGCGTGGTCTGGAGAGCGTGGACAAGGTAACCTGTTTCGGAGGAGGTCGGGGAGAAGCGAGTCAGGCCGAGAGCGCCCGGGGGTCCCCTCGCTGCGCCAACTGGAGCGGGCGGCGGCACTGCGGAGGGACCCGGGAGGTCTCCGGGTGGCGGGGTCCGACAAGGCGGGCCGAGGGGAGGTTGGCCTCACGGCGGGGTGGGGATGATGGTCTGGAGCCCCGGCGGGCGCCGGGGGTCTCACCCGGGAGAAGTCTGGGTCGGTGTGGGAATGTTGCCTGCTGTGCTTTGGAGACCCGCCGGCCGGCCTGGAGGGACCGTCTCTCCGTAGTGTAGGTTTCTTGGGGCCCAAGGTGGCGTTGCATAGGCGGCTTTGACCCGAGTGCCAGGGCTTGGGCCATCGGGTTGGGGTATGTGCCAGGGAGTTGACCCTAGAAGGCGCGGAGCAGTGGCCTGGGGTGCCGCAGGTCTCGGCCCTCGGCGGGCGCCGGGACCTCCCCAGTAGCAGAGGGGCCGAGGCGCTCCTCCCCGCGTGCGTCCCTCCGCTCACGCTCGCTGGGAGCCGAGTCCACGCCCCCGACTGCCGGGGTCCGTCCGAAACCGCCCCGAGTCCGCGTCGATGGGTGAGCCGCTCCGGGAGTCTGCGCGACTCCGCAGCCGAGGGCCCGAGCGGAAAAATTCCCATTGGATGCACTTTCTAATGGTTGGTCGGCTTCGGTCTGCGTCCGGATCTTCCCGGGCAGTAGGCTCCAGGTTATCCCCAGCCCGAGTAAACTCTACCGTCCCCCGCCTCCCCCCCCCCCGCCACCACACACA